CAATCATACACTAATCAATGGTGCCTTCGATTTGTATGTGGGTTAATTGAATTGATGCAATTTTCGAAGAACGTGTCCGTGATTGCGGGCATCGTCGACGCATCGTTCGCTGCCATTCTTGACGAGATGTTCGCAGAGTGTCAGTCCCTTGAAAATGACCCGCCAGGCCGAAGGACGCTGCGTCTCGATATTTTCCCACATGATGCGGGTGATAATTGTTGCAACTTTATTGTTGATCCAGGGTCAGGGCAATTGGGTTGATGATGACTGGCGAGCCAACTGGCAGCGCCCCAGTTTTTGTGGGACAGTACTTCGTAGACACGAGCTTCCACATCGGTTTTGGGTTTCACTTGATTCAAACTGGAAAGTTTAGTGACCAGATAGTATTATCAAGTCAGTAAGTCAGTGATAATGGGGGTATTTCGATGGGTAGCAGGTAGAAGACCAGGCATTATAGTAGAGACACAGGTAGGTAGCAGATGAAGAAGGCATGGGTATACGAAAAGATAATAGAGTCAGATGGGAGAAGGTCAGTCAGTTGCAAGCAAAAGAGATACCAAGAGAAGAAGAGAGAAGACCAGCATTGGCACCGTGACAAGTGAGAAACTCTCTCGTAGAATCTACGTAGGCCTGGTACAAAATCAACCCTCCGATGAGACAACTTACGCATCCTCGGCAGCATTGCGAATCTTATCGATACTCAGATCCTTCAACAGATCCATGGTTCTTCTATTATCCTTCTACTAAACTAGCTAGCTACGATAGAAAACACTTGCTCGTTGGTTGTGTTGGTTGCTTCTTCTTTCACTTGGTTATTGCTACTACTTCACTGGGATGCCAAAGTCGAGGCAGCAAAGTTGTGGTCCTGTGGTCGGAAGGCGAAAGATCTGGCAAGCTGGAGGCATCGAGTCATTGGCCATCAGTCACCTCTGAATGATGCCAAGATCAGGTTGGTCGCGCAAAGTAATAATCAGCTTTGTTGGCTCAACACTGTTAAGGTATTACAGCTCTGTTGCTTTGATAATTTGTACAAACGCGTCTGAAAATCGATCTTTTGCTTCAATTCTTTCGTCCAAGGCAAAAGCGATGAGACGTGAGATGCCTTAAAGGCATGGGATCCTTCGATGCTGGTATCCAGCGACCATGAGCAGCACAGCCAGGAACTACACATCAGGTGTCGCAGTGGCGTTGGCATCGGCCAGTCTGTTGGCGGTGGCTTGGAAGATTTGGCGCCGATACAAAGAAAGTCGAGACAACCAGGAGTATGAGATCGTAGTGGCGGCTGTACCATGGGATCGCCCCATGGGCCAAATGGGCTTGGCATTTGCAGGAGACCATGAGGGAAGAATCTACATTGCTGAGATAGCGGAAGGATCGCCATTTCTCAAGACGGACATCAAGCCCAACATGCATGTTGTGAGAATCAATGGTGTGGTCCTCCAACCTGGCATGACCAAAGATCAACTCATCCAAGCTCTTGGGAAAACAAAAGATGTGCTGACCGTAGAGGCAGGTCACTTGAGGAGGCAGAAGAAAGTTCAAGAGGAGGACCTCTTCCTCCAAGAAGATTCGGTGGCGGCAGCTGTACCATGGGACCGCCCCTTCGGCGAGATGGGCCTGGCACTGGCGGAAGACCGGGACCATAGAGTTCTCCTTTATGAGATTGCCAAAGGCTCACCCTTTCTCGAGACTGACATCAAGCCCGGCATGCACATTCTAAAAATCAATGGTGTGGCTCTCCAAGCTGGCATGACAAGACACCAGCTCATGGATATTTTCGAAAAGACAAATGATGTTTTGACCATTGAAGCAGGCTATCTGAGAAGGGAAAGTAGTAATGACCCCCCGTCCAATACTTCCACTCAAGCACAAAATTACCTCAAGTTAGGCATGAAGCAGGTCGACAATGGAGAGTATGCACAAGCCGTCGATTCGTTACAAAAGGCTCTTGCCAATCAAGGGGGGATGAGCGAAAATGCTGCCGCGACGTATCATTTTCTGGGCAAGGCACTCCTGGGCACCCATGATTGGCTCCAGGCAAAAGAGGCACACGAAAAGGCCCTGGAAATTGCCTTGTCTGGCCATGGAGAAAGTCACTTGCAAACAGCAACATGCTACAATGACATTGCCGATGCATTGGTTGCCGGGGGCATTCTCTCGGAGGCGGTGACCCAGTATCAGAAGAGTATCAGCATTCATGAAGCCTTGCTGGGTAAGGGCCATGCAAATACCATTGCCGCGCAGCGAAAATATGATGCAGCTCGCATGAAGTTGGGGACGGTTGGTGTGGAGTGCCGAGAAAGGGTCAACGCCTTCCTCGCTCATTTTTCCCACTCCATCGGCAAGGATGTGAGGTTGAATGACGAGGGCATTTGCGCCATACGATACAAGCATCTGCAGATCGTGATTGAAGTTCCTTCGGGTGCTCCAAACTTTCTTATATACGCAATCCTTGCAACAAATGTCGGCCAAGATAAAAGGCTTCTTCGGAAAGCACTGGAGCTCAATTATCGACTTTACTTCGAAGAGGAAACCCGCTCTGGCTGCCTTGGCATGGAGTCAAAGACTGGTGATATGCTTTTCTGCTACTCAGACAGGGCGGCAGAAGTGACTGCTGTTGACTTTCGAAACATACTCGAAATGGCCATTGACAGTACGTGTGGACCAGTTGGTTGCTACTTTGGCCTTGCATTGCTGAATTCTCACTAGGATTGCTGATGCCTCTCGATCGTCACCTCTAATAGCTGCTCTTATGCTTGACAAGGAAATCACGATGTTCGCAAACGCAGGACTAAAACCAACGAAGCAATCAGAGACCGAGAGCACTGCAATCCGCACTGGCAAAGATAGCCAAGAGGTCCCACGACCTGCGTGTCCAAATGGACACCAAATGCATCCTTGTCCATCAGAGAGAAAAGCTGCGGGCGTCGTATGTGATGTCTGCACGGCGAAAGACTGCGCAGTTGCATTTTCTTGCTCCATTTGCGACTTCGACGTTGGCGAAAAGTGTACGAGCAAAGCCAATGCGGCCGCACCATTGGTGGAAGCAACGAAACACTTCATGGAAGGCTGTGCTTTGTTTTCCGATGGAGCCCACGAGAAGGCTGCGGCATCTCTCCGAAGAGGTTTGAATACGATCGATGCAGCCGGGATGACAAATGACGTTGCGAAAACCTTGTATGTCCTTCCGCTGTTGATCAGAGCACTTTTCTTGAACGGAGATACTTCAGGGGCACTGGACGAGTGCAATAAAGCACTGATTAGGTTCAAGGAGTTTCCTGCGCTTCCAAAGCCCGATGTTGGCGTCATAGAGCAGCTCATTTCGGATATCACCCACCTACGCGACGAGGCTGCGCGCAACCCTCCACGACCCGACATGATCCCAAAGCCTGACGCTGATCTCATGGGTGTAAGCGTACACCATCTGAAAACAACCTTTATGGCACACGTACGAATGGCCGGATTTGATAAAAGCAGCAAGATCTACGAGCTTGAGAACCTGGGTGGTCCGATGGGCGTCATCCGCCGAAAAGGAGTTGGAGTACTTTGTCCAATGGACGGAAAGGAAGGAGCAGCCTATGTTCATTGCCTCTCTGGTGGTGAGAATATTGGAAAAGCATCGGTTATGATCAGCTATACCTGGGGCTACGCGATTGGTGACATTGTTGCCACTCTGGATGATTATTGCGAAGCAAACCGACTGGACCCCAAGCATCTTTATGTCTGGATCTGTTGTCTCTGCAACAATCAGCACAGAATCGTAGAGGATAGGAAAGCTGGGAAGGAGGTACCTTTCGAAGAGTTTCGACGCATTTTCTACAGCCGTGTCACCGGAGTAGGGCATGTATTGCCAATGATGGCTCCATGGAACTCTCCAAGATATCTCACCCGTGTCTGGTGTATTTTCGAAATTTTTACTGCGCTAAAAGAGGGTTGCCAGGTATCAATTGTAATGCCCCCTGAAGAGAAAGAAGGCTTGGAGCAAACCATGTTCAGCAGCGACCTTGATTTTGCTGGAGACGTTGACATGCTGTATGACGTCTTGGCGAAAACAAAGGTGCAACAGGCCGATGCATCAGTCGAAGAAGATCGAGTTAGAGTTCTAAGACTGGTGGAAGACAACCCAGGCTACAGGGCGCTCAATGACCAGGTGATCAATAGTCTGCGCAGCTGGGTCAGGAGTGTCATTGAAGACCTCATTCAAAAGAAGGGATCGGGCAAAGCAGATGATTTGGAATACGCTTTGTTCTGCAAAAAGCTGGGATTCTTGTTCCAAAGGAACGGGGAAAATGAAGCCGCATTTGAATGGCTTATGAAAGCGGGTACCATGTTCACGAATGCATGTGGCCCAAATCACCCCTACACCGCGAGCACAATGATCGGGCTTGGCAAAGTCCTTCTAGCCCAGGGCGACATCACTGGTGCTAAGGTGGAACTGACGAATGCGCTAAAGATCTTGGACCCTTTCCGCCTGGGGAAATGTCAAGACGCTGAGGCTGCTGATGCATATCACAACCTGGGCATCGCGCTCCAACTACAAGGCTTCCTGAAAGCTGCACAAGACAACCACACCAAAGCCCTGGAGATTCGGCAGTCTGTCTTCGGGGATGTCCACCCCAAGGTCGCTCTTTCGCATCAGAGCATCGGTTCAATTCTGGCAGAGGAAGGCAATCATCCCCAAGCATTACACTCGCATCGCTTGGCACTTTCCATCAGGGAAAAGTTCCTTGGCAGAGACCACGCCGACACTTCTGCATCCTACATTCATGTCAGCTCTCAACTGTTTCAGCTTGGACAGCGCGAACAAGCTCTGGCTTTGCTTCAAGAAGTCTATGAAGCTGAAGTGGGTTCAATTGCAGAAGCAATGCGCCAAAGCCAAGCTGAAGCAGTGAGCGACCCTGTGCTTCAAAGTTCGATTGAAACAATCGAAAAGAATCTGGTTCAGTGTTCTCCGGAGGCTGATACTGGCTTGACATCATCAAGGGGGGCCAAGACGTCGCAAGAGACAAAGGCCAGCCTCGTTGGAGTGGAGTCATTCTTGGCTGGGAGCAAAGGCACCGGCCTCGAGTCGTTCAGTGACATCGCTGTAGCTTTGCAGGGCCTCAACGATCTAGACCTCGGAGCACTTTCACAGCGAGTTTCGTCACCCGAGGATCGTTCAGCAGCAAAGGCGAGCAGACGAACAATCATTGACAATCATCTGGAAAGGATCAGTCGATCAGCTGGCGAAGGCAAGAGTTTTCGCTTGAACGCCAAAGGAATCGGAGCCTTTGTGGCTAACGGCAGGCCAATCGTGATTGAAGCCCCTCACACTCCTTCCTTCTTTGTGTGGACAACACTACTGAAGAAGAGCGATCAAGTCAACCAGGACCATATCCTGCAGAAGGTGATGGAAATGAATTATCTGCAGCAACAAACTCGTGGAGGAGGTTTGCTTTTGGACCCGGTCAGTGGTGATGTTGTCTTTGTCTTTTCCGAGCGCACAGATGAAATCTCCTATACGGACTTTTGCAATATTCTTTCCAACTTCATTGAGACGGTGGAGTCTCTCGCGACAGCTCTCCAGACTGTCTAGTTTGTGACTGGCCCTGGCGGTTCTTTTTTCGAGTAACCCGTTCATTTTTCTTGAATCAAACACCCACCATGGATACTCGGGCTGACAGATAGAATGGAGCGACGTTTCGAAGAATTGATAGTCATTGGGGGACGAGGATGCGGATGCGTCGGCAACTGAATTCGGGTGCTCTACAGACCGAAAAAAGCATTTAGCTAGCTAGGATCCCTCATCCCACCAGGGCTGGCTCCTCCGCCGGAAACCCGACGGCGGCACTCTCCGGTTTTCACCATTGCCCGTCTCCCTCCATGCCACATCCAGACCCAGCTTGGCCTTTCCCAAACTCCGTGAGTGCAACACAGCAGCACAAACGATGTAAGCAGCATTTGCCAATAAGCACAGAGCTCGGAAGGCTGTGGTATCTTCAGTGATTCCCTGCATGTATGTTAGTTTACACTTTATATTCTACACCTTGTTTTTTTTTGTCCATCAACGATGACCACCAAACGCTTTGTGAAGAAACTTGGACATGGGACTCGTTGGTTGTTTCTTCTTGCTGGCATGATGATGGTGATGAACGATCCAAGGATGTTCTGTGAGTTGTTGCGCACTCGGTCGGGTGTCTAGGTCTCTTTCCAGACAAGCCCGGATGAACTCCTTGGCATCGTTGGACACATGGTGCCACACGGCTTGATGAAAAATGTCGGCTGTGCTGGTAGCAGCTCGTATCTTGTCCAAGGTATCTGCCGTACTGGCGCCGACAAAGGGAGCTTCTCCGCAGAGGAGTGCATACGTCAGGACTCCCAGGGACCAAATGTCGCATTTTTCATTGTAGCATTCGTTGAGGACTTCTGGTGCCACATAGTAGGGACTGCCCGCCTTTTCCGTCAACATTTGCCCTGTACCACTACTAATCCGAGTGGCCAGTCCAAAATCGACCATGCGGATTTTGTCTTGACTGCACTTTTTGTATTTGCTCTGGAACATGAGGTTCTCTAATTTGATGTCTCTGTTGACAATGCCTCGATCGTGGCAGTAGGCGACGGCTTGCAAGACTTGTCTCACAATAGCTGCCGCTGTGGATTCCGACAGAGTCTTCTTCTGTTTGGCCAACAGTGCCACTTCTTCGTAGACTTCCTTGCCCTTGCAAAGGTCCAAGACCAAATGAATGGACTTGGAATCTTCGTAGACCCGATGGCACTGTGCAATGTTCTCGTGACGCAATTGACTGAGAATGGAGGCTTCTTGTTTCAGGATGGAGGCTTCCTTGGTATGGATCTTACGGACGGACTTGATGGCGAATCGATCGTTGGTGGTACGACAAATGGCTTTGCGAACGGTCGTTCTGGTGCCCTTGCCCAGAATGCTGCGGGAGGAATAGTCAATACTATAGTCTACATCGACAGTCTTGTTTTCACAACAGGGCTCTTCGGCCCAGTACGCATCGTCATCCACAAAAGTCGTGTCATCTTGCTTGCCTTGCTCTAGATCAGGTTTGTTGTCAGTAGTGTCGACAGCACAGTGCTCCGTCTCGGAGGATTCTGGCACTGAATTTTCGCTGAGATCCGTGTCGACGACATCGGCAGGCCAATTCCAATAGGAGTCGCCGTCAATGGCAGCCTGAGGCGAGTGATGACGGATGGCCTCCACCGTCTTTACCGGGGCGACGACCGCTGGATTCCGGATGCTGGGCGCCATGGTGCTTCTCAACAACAAAAATGGTTCTCAAGTAAGCACGTAAGTGACTTTGGAATTCTTGTGGTCTTGGGTGATAAGACGTTTGTGAGAACTTTAGAGGAAAGCCAAGCAACTCCAATGAAGGAAGAGGTTCGGTTTGATCGAGTGTTTTCACGCGTTGACATGGTTGACACCATCTTTCTTCTTGCTTGATGCGATCCAATGAAGGAACGTGCAATTTCGCGTTTGACATTTTGTGACCACAACGAAAGAGTCGCCCTCCTCGTGGAACAAAGAGGAAAAGAACAGAAGGCTTTTTACACAGAAAGGAGGCCCAAAGCCTTTCAGCATCAAAATCTTGCCTCACTCATGACGACGGTCCTCTTTACAGCTTGAGACTTGCTTGCGACTTGGCGACAACAATGGAAGAGTGAGGGCTCAATTTGGCAATGAAAAATGAAACGGTGATGCTGTTTCGAAAGACCTCTCCTCCTACGATCGCAGCTCAGCGTCACAAGTAGATCTATGGATCGTTGCCATTTCGAAGACCGCTGTCTATCTGTGTACTTTTCTTTGGCTGATTCTGTTTCGTTAAGATTTTAAATGGGGGGTTAGAAACAGTGTGGCTGTCGCAGGTCGCAGCCAGCTTTTCAAAGCCGTGTAATTCAAAATGTAATATGCAACATATAGTCTGGATTGAGCTCAAGCAGCCACCGGATGGTGCGATCTGCACTCGTTTCGCAGCGATTGCTTTGTCTCCATATCGTTCATGCATAGTCCTTGTCAGAAACTGCGCAAGCGACGTTTAGCAATCCACCACAATGTCAAGGTTGTTCTTGTCAGTGTCAGAGCCATCCTTGGTGAAAGATTCATCCTTTTTGGGTGATAGGTCAGAATCCTCAGGTTCTTCCAACTCCTCCTCCTTGGGCGCAGTTGCTGGTGTCTGGTAGAGATCTTCCTCGCAGCCAGGGCGGAGATAGTACCAAAAGTTGAGGAATGCACAAGTGACATAGTATGCACCTAGACCATAAAATGTAACTTCAGGGGAACCCGCCTTGATGGCGATGCCAAACATGGTTGGGATGATGAAGGCACCGTAGCTGGCAATTGCAGAGGACCAACCAAGGACAGGGCCAGACTCTTCTGGTGGGAAAAGGACTCCAATTGTACGGAAGGTCGTTCCGTTCATAAAACCAGTGGTCAAGAACAGATTTAGAAACAAAAAGACGAACCAACCAAAATTCTCTTCGGGCCTATCAAGGTCTCGGGTTTTCTTCACTAGAATCCCCTGGCAGAAAGCAGCAATAGTGCACCAGATGATAGCAACCATGGTGCACCTGGCTCCACCAAACTTGTCAGCAAGTACGCCTCCAACAGGACGGATGAGCGATCCCACAGCCGCTCCAAGCCATGCAACGCTGTCGCTGTTGGGAGCGTTGGGGTTGACGTACTCGTGGTTAACAAGCCACTCTCCTCCGTTCTTTAGACAGGCCGCTTCTTCGCCGCCGGGAGTGAAAGTGCCATCAACTTTGCAGCCATCGCCATTGACGTAGCCAAAGAGATCCACAATCAGCTTGGGGAAAGAGCCAGAGTAACCAATGAAGCTTCCAAAGCACATAATGTACCTGCAATGGAAGAGAGACAAGTGACAGATGATGAGATGAGGTGTGATACCAAGTCCACGTTCAGTCCAATCATGCACCCAGACTCACAGCCATGTCATGATGTATGTGTGCTTGTTCTTGAAAATGACAACCTGCTTGTGGACACGGACTTTGGCTTTCTTGGGCGTGATGTACCAAAGGAAGATGTGTTCGGCAGAGGCAGCCAACAACACGAGGAGGAACTTGTGGGCAACCTATTAAAACCGAAGTAAGAAGCAATGAAGATGTGAGGCAGCATCTAAAGGTGCTCTGTACGAGTGTTCAGGGATGTACCGACCTGTCCACCGGAAGTCTTGACCATGGCAGAGTCACGAGTAAAAACCAGCGTCAAGCACCCAATAGATGCGGCAATGAATCCAACGATTTCCATCCAGTAAAAGTTGACATGACTCATGAGCTGGGACTTGCTTCCATGGGTTGGCTGGTTGCTCATGTAAAAGTAGGCAAAGATAGCCGACGCAGCACATAGAGGAAACCAAAGCCAACCTGCATTGGCAGGCCAACCAGAAGCACCATTCGGGCTCACGGGCGCGGAACCGAATGCACTCGTCATGAAGATGGGGGCAAGAAGCTGAGAGATACTGACTCCCAGGTTGCCAAGTCCTCCATTCATGCCAAGGGCGTAGCCTTGTTGCTTCTTGGGGTAGTAGAAGGAAATGTTGCTCATGGACGAAGCAAAGGCTCCTCCACCAGCACCACTGAGAAGCGAGCAAACAATCAACAAGTTGAATGGGCACCTTGGGTTGCCCAGGGCAATGCCAGAAATAATCATCGGGATACAGAGGATGACGCTGGTGGAGTAGACCACATTTCGTCCACCAGCTACCTGTGTCAAGAAGCTGTTGGGGATACGGAGGGTACCTCCAGACAAACCAGCAATGGCAGGGAGCAAGAACAGGAGGGCCTTGTACTGCAAGAAAGGGGCAAGGAAACGAAAGCCTGCGTAAGGCGATGCAGATCAAAAGTGCACACAAGGACTCAATGTCGATGGCCAAGCTTACGTCTTTTCCTTGAGGGGACTCCCAATCCTGGAAGGGGTATACCTCGGGATCTGCATCGTGCATCTTTTGGATCCTGGTCGCAATGACTACCAGAGACGCGTTGAGATTGAAAGCGTCGATCGTTAGCAACGCACCTTGCAAGCTAGCAATCCGCCCTCAAATGCGGGTCCTGCAGAGCACTTACCAGACCAGACAAGCCAGACACCAAAGGAACATGTCAAGTTGGGGATGGAGGCAATCAAGTTTCTCCTGGCAATGCTGCTTCCATAGCTGGTCCACTGCTTCTCGTCCTCAGGATTCCAGGTTGTAAGCTTCACCTGGGGGAAGATCCAACCAGAAGAGTCTGCCAACAAAGCGACGTTTTCCCCGTCTTCGATACCGCCTTCACAGTCCTGGCGGATGCCCAGGCCACCTTGACCTGCCGTCTCGCTGTCGTCCAGTTCTGTGCGTTGCCTTCCGAGGTTTTCAAGGGAGGCGCCCGTGAGCACGGACTCACCTCGTCCGATGAGAGCAATGCCGTTTTGGTTCGACATGGTGAAATCTTCTTGGTGGCAAATTCTCAAAGAAAACGGGGCAAGCAAATAATGAGGCAGCTTCACTGAGGCTAGCTTCAAATTGTGAGCTATTAACAGAGCAGTGCTGAGAAAGATTTGTCAAAGATATCGGCAAAGGATTCGAGGGAAAATACCGGCATTGGAGGTTGTAGGGACCATCGGGGCATTGCTACGAGTTCCTCCAAACTGCCGGAGCCCCAGGCAAGTCTAGAGTGAGATCACATTGAAGCAAGCAAGAGCTTGATTTCGCGCCAAGTCAAGGGCTCTATCTTTTTCTAGCTAGCCTAGCTAGCTAACCAACATCCGCTGGTCTGTTGGTTTGTTGCGTGTCGTCAATTTGGGTACCGGTACCTTTAGAACTCATTATATATCTTATTAGAACAAAATGCTTCCGGAGATATGTAAACGAAGAAAACAACTGGTTCTTTATTGAGCTTCTTGGAAATGGTCTGGCCCAATCAAGCTGCAATGGATGGCCAGAGCGCGTGTGAGCATCGCTGGAGCACAACAAACTTCATATCCATATTTCCACTTCCAAACTTGTTGTCACTCTAGCTAGTGTCTACCTAGCTTTCCAAAAACAATTTTCTGCGAGAAACTGAAATTCACTCGAAAGATCCAAATGCGGAGAGGACCGTGTCAGCGTGTTGACACCTGATGTCAAGGGGTTCTTCTTCTCGCTTTGCATGTCGGATCTTTAAGCATTTGGAAAACCAATTGATAGAGACGTGGAAGGATTCAAGGGGGACAGGACACCCGAAACGCTTCTGGTGCGTCACAGATGATGCCATCCATAAACATTGGAACCACCAAATGCCTGCTCTGAAGCTCTGACGGGTGAAGACATGCATATTTAAATATGGGACGCCAAAGAAAGCTGAGCCAGCAGCCAGCAGCCATGGATTTATCCCGAAGGAAGGGGCCAGGGCCACAGTAGCTAGAGCTAGCTGGACAGCTTCAGGGTGACATTGGAATGGTTTGATATACTGGAAATAACAAGATGAATACCTCACCAGTACCGGTAGCCTTCGATCCATGTCCACCACAAATAAATGTTCATGGCTCAAGAATCAAGAGTGTGGCCCGCAGAAAAGAAGGCAAATCACAATAACCAAGCAAACTTTGTTGGAGATTATGTTCATGTTCCTCTGTTGGAGATTATTATGTTCACACAAAAATTGCTGCAATTCCTCCGAACAAGATGCGAGCTAAAAGTGCAGGCTACTGGTACCGGTAGCAATTGGTACGGTATGAAGGTCCTTTGGTACCAGTACCAGGTACCGGTACCTAGCTAGCGGTACTGTAGAAGAAGCCAGGAAGTTCAGTCGCAGATGATTCGATTCCCACCACCCGCACCAGTTTGCATTGGGAGCAAACCGTTCGAGACGAGGAAAACACCACGACAAACACACCACAAGAGAACAGCAAACCACTTTGAACCTATTTTGGAGGTTCAAAGACAGTATTCCTCCAATGCTTGGCCAGAAAAAGTGCAAAGTCTTCAATGCAGTGCTAGCTAGAAGAACAACTTCCGAACCCACGGCGAGGAAGAGGTACATACAGCGTACGGCCAAGGTGGAGAAAGCGTGGTACGATCGTGGATTGGGCAACCGCTCCCAAACTACCAAGCTTCAACGGCCGAAAAAGCTGGCTCTTCAGCACCCACTGGAGTAAAAATCGAAAAAAGTATTTGTTCAAGACTTTGCTTTTGTATGACCATACTGCTTGTAATTTGTATCAAGCTTGCACCAACAGACTGGCAGATCTCACGAGCGGCGGTACTAGCTAGCTAGCAAAACGAGAATGAATGATTCTGGTTCGTCAGCCCACTTGGCACTTTATCAGCAAAGCAAAGGCAAGACTACCTGTAGCAGCACCAGCCAAACATGATCATGGCACGACACTGCAGCCTACTACTACCAGTAGCTAGCTAGGGAGCGACTCGACTGAGCACCCTCGATCGAAAGACAGGTACTAAAACAATCTCGCGAATCACCAGAGATGATTAAAAACACCTACTAGGCAACGAAAGAAGCAAAACAACGGAAGAGTACGGTACCTGTACCGGTACCGGTACCGGTACCACGTTACTATTAAATAGTACCACAGTACCACGGTATTCCGGTGCTGTGAGTATGTGAGTATTACAGCATCATTAATGACTGTCACTCTGTTTTAAATCAGTAGGTGAATTTCAACGTCATTGAGAACTCCTCTTGTCTTGCCTTGTCTTGTGCCGTCTGTTTTAGTATTAAATCAGAACGTCAATGTGAGAACTCCTCTCTGTCTTTATGTACGACTGCAACACCAAATTCAACAAGACTGCATTTGTAAATGATGAGAAAGACAAAAAGATATAGAGGGGGGTTTAGAGTAAGAAAGACAAAAAGATTGCTTCCATCCCACAACGGTACGGTGGATACAGTCTTCAAGTCCGAGGACAAACCACTGAAGAGCCAACAACAATCATCACAATACACAGCAAACAACTAACTTTCCCATTTATAAAAACAACCAAACAATTACAAATCATGGAGGCCAATCCGATGTATCATGGTATGGATACATCCGCCTTGACGACAACTGATTCCAACGATGACCTGAGCATGGGGTATTCCAGCGGTGATTCGGCAGCAAGGACAAGGACAAGCATAGTTTCTAGAAGAAACAGAATCAGCTCCACAGCGGTTCCATCGCTCAAATCCTCTGTCCGAGCCTCGACTGCAAGAGTTCAAGGTTTTACCATGAACAAGCTGCGTTTCTCAAGGCTGGAACTGTATGGCCGAGACGAAGAGAAAAGTTTCTACGCGACTGCTTCCGACGGATGATGAAAGACGAGAAGAATAACTCCAATCAACGCCAACTGGTGTTGATATCGGGACCAAGCGGGGTCGGGAAATCTGCCTTGGCGCATGAGCTCGAGGAACCCCTGGAAAAAGCCAAGGGCTTCTTCTTGACGGGCAAGTTTGACCTCAATCAAGGGCAAGAACCCTACGCTGGCATTGTTGCTGCTGTGAGGACACTTTGCAATATCCTTATGGATTCCCCTTTGTTCGCCCAAGTCCAACACAAGCTACAAGAGGAGCTGGGAAATGACGCACACATTTTGGTCCAGCTCGTGCCCCTCTTGTCCCCGATGTTTGGATGCAATGACGCGACAACCAGGAGTCAGTCGCCTCGGGTCGGAGTCAAGGACGCTCAGAACCAGTTCCATTTTGCCTTTGTCCGTTTTCTTCGTGTCATCAGCTCATTTGGGCCCATTGTCCTCCTGATGGATGATATTCAATGGAGTGATATCGCTTCCATGCAACTTCTCGAAGTCTTGCTGACAGATCGTAGTCTGGACATGGACAACTTCATGGTCGTTGGGTTGTACCGAAGCAACGAAGTCCATGAGGGCCATCTCGTGACCAAGTGGATGCGAGATGTAGACGAATCAAAGGGGATTGCGGTTCAAAAGATTGTCTTGGGCAACCTGACGCAAACTCATATCAATCAAATGCTGGTAGACCTGTTGTCCGCAGACAGCAACCAAACGCAGGGTCTTTCTGAGATTGTCTACAAAAAGACGGCGGGGAACGTCTTTTATGTTCGGTATTACCTCCAATCGCTTGAGGATGAAGAGCTTTTGAGGTTCAATTTTGGGCTCAATAAGTGGCTTTGGGACGAAGGAGAGATTCGGGCCAGTACAATCGCCACGGACAATGTTGTGGACTTGATGAAGGGCAAGCTGGCCAGGTTGCCTTCTGCTTTGCGGCAAATACTTCCTCTTGCAGCATTTCTTGGAACCAGCTTCTCTGAAGACATATTGACCCCACTTGTGGACCAACTTCCCAATATAGAAGAGTACCTTGTACAACAGTCCGAGAAGGAGCGTGTGGTCACAAACGGAGGGGAGGAAGGATTACATGACACAAATGCTAAGCTTCGGCGCTGTGTGGACGTGGGACTTGTAGAAGAGCATCCCCCCAAGAGCTACCAATGGCTCCATGACAAGATTCAAGAGGCGGTGAGTATACGGACATATTGTGTCCACTTAGCAGTCTCCAAGTGGAATCAACCTTATCCCATCTCCTCCGCTCGCCGTAGGCTTTGAGTATGATTGCCCCTGAAAGGTTTTCCGAGCTGCAGTTTCGGGCAGGTGAAGCCCTTTGTGGGCAACTAGACCCTGTGCAAATTGAAGAGCACATATTCGTCATTGTGAACCTTCTAAATGAACACGTTAGCCTCTACCTCCCCAAGCTGACAGAAGCCAAGAGGCTCAGAATGGCGGGGCTCTACTTGTTGGCAGGAAAGAAAGCAAATCAATCAGCATCGTTTGCTTCAGGGGGGGTGTACCTACGAAGAGGTATCAATCTGCTTCCAAAAGGACACTGGGAAAGCCAATATGCAATCAGCCTGGAGTTGTTCTCTCTCGCAGCGGAGGCCGAGCTTGTCACTGGCGAGGTCGAATACATGGAGAGACACTGCAATGAGGTCATCGCGCAGGAGGACCGACCCATTCAAGACAAGTTTCGTGCATACTATGCATTGATTGAGTCTATCGGTGGTCGCAATCGGCTGGAGGAGGCAATAGAAATGATCCTTTCAGGTAAGTGATGGGATGAGCAGTTGTGCGATGCCGGCAGCAGCATTGCAAGCTGACAGGGTATCGCGAGCTGTTTTTAACCTGCAAACTTCTTTGTTACAGTCTTGGCGCAACTAGGCTGCACCTTTCCAAAAAGGGGACGGAAACTGGTCACTATAGCGGGGCTGATCAAAGTCAAGGCTACTATTAAAGATAGGACACCTGAGGAAATAGCAAAGCAACAGCAAATGACGGACCCAAAGAGGATAGAAGCAATGCGACTAATGGACAAACTTGCTACCTTTGCATACTACGCGAAGTCCGAGCTTCTCGCTTTGTCCATCCTCAAACGTCTGAGCTGGACTATAAAGTACGGAGTATCTGCGTTTTCACCGCCAGCTTTCAGTCAAGTCGGTCTCATTTTGTGTGGCAAACTGGGGGTACGTAACGGTGCTGGTAGCATTGAGGTGCGCAAGTGGCTGTCTCTAGATTGTCGACTCAACAACCTTTCATCAGGATATCCAAGGTGGGAAGGTCTATGGCCAGCACGCGCTCTCGATGATTGACAAGTTCGATTGCAGGGCAGTTGAAGCCCGAACATACTTTGTAGCTCATGCTACTGTCTTTCACTGGACCATCCCTGTCCACGACTGTATGAAGCCAGCGCTTCGGGCCTACGAGTCGGGGATGGCCACCGGCGATCTGGACAGTGCCTTTTGGGGGGTCTTCTTTCACCTGGAATTCGCCTTCTATGCGGGCCGCCCCCTGCAGTCAATCGAGGCTGACTTTCGTTTCTTTACCAAGCGAATGAAACATCAAAAGCTTCTGGTGTACCATTCTCAGATCAGCTCTCTTGCCTGGGAAGGAATCCTTCACCTGCTTGGTCGTTCAGATGATCCAACAGAACTGTGTGGGGAAGTTGTGACGCCTCAATTTATCTGTGACGCAGAAGGAAGACAGCATGCCGGAGAACTTGCAATGGTGAGTGCTCTACAATTGCGTGCAGCTCCGAGGCAACGGGCGTTCTTTCCGGTTCACCAACCACTGTTACACTATTCTGTACGGCATGTCCCTTCATCAGATACATCGAATGCAGATTTACCTGGCCTATTGGTTTTGTGATGATGAGCGCGGTGCCGAGCTGGCTCTTCGCTACGGAGAGGAGCATCCCACCGGCAGCCCGGGTGCGTGAAGGAAATCGTGTCACTCCCATCACAATGCATGTCGTGCAACTCAGTTATATTTGCTCATTTCCAGGCAATGTTGGCGTTGTCCATGTTCGTGTTCACACGGCCGTGTTGTGCCTCTCGGCAGGACGCAAAACTGGAAACAAAAAGTATATCAAGTATGGCCGCAAGGTGGCTCGGATCGTCAAGTCTTGGGTGGAGAAGGGGTGCCCCAACGTTGTACATTTTGATGTAAGCCATGAATGCAAGGTCGGACCCAACAACGAGATGCCCGGATGCCTCACCCAATGCATTGATTGCCACAGGCCCTGTTGGATGCGGAACGTTGCGCTCTTTCCAGAAAGAATCACTTGGCTGTGAAGCACTTCGAATGCGCAGCATTGTTGGCCGCTCGGAGGGGCTTCATTCAAGATCAGGCCATGATCAACGAGCGCTTTGCCGATTTTGCCCTTCACGTTATGAATGACGAACACGAGGCAGAGTATCGTGCAAAGGAATCTGAAAAGCTTTACAATGAGTGGGGAGGTAAGTGATGTGATGTGTCTCCTGTTCTTTGACATGCACCAGACTGGCCTCAGTGCACTTCTTTTGGCTTGGTTCAGCGCTTGGAAAGGTGAAGCAAGTAAAAACTAAGCTCCGGCAATTCTTCCGGGAGGAGATACCTCCAAGTGATGTTGTCGTCCAGGCTTGTGTCACTCCGGTCTACTGAGTCCGGATCAGTAAGGTTGAGACAACGGAAGGGCAGGAAACCAGCCAGCCTGGATATCGGTATCATTTCTGTGATCATGGTCACCACCGCTTACATGCCAGAGCTTGCCCTACAATGATGCTACTTTGATTATGAACTACCACTAGCTAGCACAACTACAACCACTACTGTATAAAGAATGAAGCCATGAGCTTTGTTTGTAAAGATTGTCTACTATGTGTTAGTATTGTTCTATGTCTATGTTTGGTTGTATTTAAGATTGTAGCATAGCATCAACAATGATAGAGGTTGGTTGTCGGGTGTCACGGGGATTAACTTCGGACTTTTGTCGCCTGGAGGACGTTCGGCACTCTGCAATAGAGGCTGCCTAGCACAGGAACCACAAACCTGGCTACCTTGTATGTGACCCTTCGATTGAACCAACTGTATTCGTCTCCGCAAAATTGTTGCATAGCCCTGCACCCCACCAGATGCTTGCTCTTTGTGTATGTATTCATGTGTTAGTAGTCCCCGCAATCCGTCGTCGTCGCCCCCTTACTTACCTGTTGTCGATCTAACCTGGAATGTACCGGTCAGGCTTTCTTACTCGCCGCCCAGAACAACTTGTTGTTGTTGTACTAGTATGGATTTATCCCGAAGGAAGGGGCCAGGGCCGCAAGCCAGAGCTACTCGACAGCTTCAAGGTGACGTTGGAAGGTTTGATGTATACTGGTAGTAAGATGAATACCTCACCAGCACCCTGGCTTCGATCCATGTCCACCACAAATAAAATTTAATGTTCATGGCTCAAGAATCAAGAGTGTTGCCCGCAGAAAAGAAGGCAAATCAGAAATGGCCTCATCACAATAAACAACAAAATTTGTTGCTCTTCGAACACACAAAGTTAATGCTGTAGTTCGTCCGAACAAGTTCGAGCTGAGTGCAGGACAGACGTTGCCAATGGTGGTACCAATACCGATACCGGTAGGCATGAAGTTCCTCCACCGTCAAGTTCAGTCACAGATGATTGAATCATTCCCACCACTTGCAAGACAGACGATGAATGGTTGCAAGACCTCAAAGACTGCCAAACAGTCGGCTTATTGCTGATAATAGCTAGCAGCCTGCTGCATGACTAGCTATTTAACCACGATATTTCCAACTGAGTCAATACTACGTAGACATCGTACCTGAATAGAGGACGCAAAGAAGGAGGTTTATTATTATTTTTTGTTTTTGATTGATTTGGTTTATGTAGCGAAGAAGAAGGACAAGTGTATGTAGGTTGTTATGCAGCAACAGCCACCATCATCGGGGGTATGAAAAAGTATGAATGAATGAATTGAAAAACAGCTCATGGAGACAACAGACTCGACTGACTCTTGTTGCTTGTGAGTTAGAAAGAATGACAGGGGAGCAAGAATTCGGCTTCCATTTCCCGGTCGAGTTCATTGAGGATATCAATGGCAGCATTGCGGTCGAGATCGGAATCCGCTTGGACGACTCTATCCATGGTACTGTCAAAGGATCGGTTGGGTCCCTCCAAACAACTGCTGCTGCCAAAGGAAAAGGTTGGATTGTTGCTATTGCAGTCGGCCAAGAAGGGTTGTGGAAAGGATAGCACCGAAGAGATGGAGTCTTCTCGGACCGTCATACAGTCTCGAATGGGCACGGGAGGGCAGAATTCTTGGTCTTCGTGCAACGGTTCGAGGGGGGTTCGTTCCCAGAACTTGGTAGAAGTTGGCACCAGTAGACGCGCATTATCATCATCGTCGTCATCAATGTCACTGCACGTAAAGGAAGGGGACGGCAAGTCACTCAGCGACGGAGACGGCAAATCACTCAAGAGGACGTCATCCGCGTGGTCGAAAAAGTCGAGCACCGACTCGGGCGACGGCGGTTTGACGACCGGCTTCCAGGGCTCTCCTGCGTGTCGATTGGGGATTGTAGCAAAGCCCCTCTTGGACTTACTTTTGCTGCCGCTACAGTTGCTTCCCGTACTGCTGCAGCTGTTGCTGCGACTGACGGCGGGTGGTTTGCGCAGCTTGTAATTCTTGGGTTTTTGGTTGACGTCGGCCAGTGTAATAGGTTGGAGGGGTGTTGCGGCAGATTGAGTCCTGGTAGTACTGCTGTTGATTGGTCTGGGAGTAAAAGGAGTAACGTGTGTTTTCTGGACAGTGTCCTGTTTGGAAGCCAAAGGAACCAGAGCCGGAGAGGAGGTCGGTCCAGGCTTGGTAGGGGCTGCTGGTGTAATAGGAGGCACTGTCACTGGACTAGGTGATTGGTACGTGGGATAATGCGGCCAGTGCGGCGTGGGATAATGAGAAGGAGGAGGCGTCATGGGATAGGACATGTTGTATTCGTAGTGATGATGGTGGTGGTGCGAGGGCACAGGCGATGATCTCAGAACGCTGTAGGAGTGGCCTGGTGGAAAGTATGGTCGCTGAGACGGAACCGGCGTGGCGGGGACAGGCGAGGCGGTGACTGGCTGTTGCACCATCTGCGGAGGTGGAGATTGAACCCTTCGTTTGGCTTCTTCCTCTTCCTTCTGTTGCTTCTTTTGCACCGACTCGGTCTTCAATTGACGTCGAATCTTGGGAGCTCCTTCACGGAGAAGCTGCGACGTCTTGCGTCGAGCCAATTTTTCGGGAATGACATGCCAGAAGCCCGTCTTGTCGTCCTGTTAGTATTCAATCAGAATAGAGTTTAATGAGTGAGGGACAAGAGATCATCAGACAATGACGAGATGATCTATCTACTCATTGAAGCTTCAGCAGTAGCATCTCGTCGACAACACAGTCTCTTCGACTTGTCAGACGTACCTTCTCCAAGAATCGTCCAGGAGGAGTTTGATCTTGCCATGTGCGAACCAGTTGTTCCGCAAGCTGTGTCTTCTGAAGCCGTGTGAATGTTTGATACTCCTTTTTGTGCTCTCTGACCATGCCGCGATATCTGTTGGTAGAGATGAGAGGAGACAAGAAGAGTAAGATACTCGCATCATTGTTGCGTCGGTGCACCGAGAGAACCTCTCTCTCGAATGAAGAAAACGCGAATCCCACACTGCACCACCATCTCACATTCTTACCTCACATTGCTTGGATTGTGGATCGAGGAGCCTCCTCTTCCAAGTAAGATATCATTGGAGCGAGGTTCTTTGATAATGATTTCGGATTTGTCCTTCTTCATCTTTGTTGGCGTCATGGCAATGATCTTTTGCTTGTCTTGTGTTTGTTATTGTTGTTGGTTGGTTGGTGGTGGTGGCCGAATAGAATGAGATCCAAGTTTTTCGGTTGGAGATGGATGACCTCAACCGGGGAAAACGGAAGATGTGACCAGACATTGACCCGGCGTCCATTCACGATTAAATTCGGCGAGGGCGCTCTAACCGGATCAGTCTTGTAATGTTACTTATAATAAATTACCCCAAGCAACAAAATATAATTTAATATCCATGTTATACTGTGTATGCAGTATTGCCAATACCGGTCTGCGTTTCAACCTCTATAGATCTAGAGAAGGGTTCTTTGCAGCTTGAGTTGAATGCTGTTGAGGAGATACTGGCCTCCCTAGAAAGACAAGCAGCAAACATTGTCAGGGCAGCTTACTTCAACTTTGCTTGCCTTCATCCGAGTGTTTCCAGTTGGTTGACTTCTAATGTCAATTTCCACTTCTTCAGCTTGACACTCTGAGCAAGCTACTACCGTACTTGTAGCTTCTAATCAGAAACTATCAGGCAGTTAACTAGCTATGAAAAGGGGTCAACATCGTTTTATCAGGCACGGAAACCAAAAGCAAATGGCGGCAAACCTTGCCAGCTTCGAAAAGGAGCGCCTCAATATCAAGTAACAGGGCTCAAGCACGGTATCTTTTAAATTTCACGGAGATGAAGTAAAATGAACCAAAAGGAACACAAAATGACTTCAAACACAATTCATGCAATCCGGGATTCGAAAATGCCTAACGTCTCTCAACTGCCCTGCTGCCAAGGTGCGCCATAATGGCGTGAATGTGATTGAATCCACGAGACGCATTGGATATCTAGCTGCGTTGGCTCCGAATGGGATCGGTGAACGGAACAGGATCCATCGAGGATATAGCGATGTAGCGATGCCTTTGTTGCTCGGATTAAGTAACTAACTAACTCCCATAATAATAACCTGGTGGCGTCTTTGTGTTTCCAAGAGAAGACCCGGGCATTGAACTGGGGACGAGTCGAGTCGTCAACCCTACCGTATCAAATCGGAAAGCAACGCTCATCGAGGACTGCATTCCGGTAGCCTGACGATGCTGCCGCATGCCGAGAATTGATCCGTCTCGATAGATTATGTACGAAATCTTCCGATCCATAAGCCAATGTTCAGTTAGTTAGTTGTTGTGGTTTGTAGAAACACCCTCCAACGCAGCACTCAGCGCGGCCTCCTCTTCCGCCGAGCGATCTTTCATTGTTCTTCTATGAATTGATTCGATGTTGGCACCCAACGAGCCAACTGCCATGGCTTCCAACACCCACAATGCGTTTCTGCTTCGGTGCATGCTCGACGTTGTTGCTCGCAGAAGCTTCTCCCGCATCAACGTACTCGCTATACGGGCAATGGACAAAGAAGGATCGACAATCAGCGCAGCAAGCAAGACCCAAATCGCGAAGCAAGAGTTAGTCGATGTACGGGTCTGTAGTTAGCGACAAACAAGGGTAGAGCCTGCAACTGTCGTAGTCTTTGCCGCAATCCAGCGACTCCACGTAGCAGTGGTGGGCACGAGTGGGTTCAGGCCAAATGAGTCGAGTCGGGCAACAGTCGAGGGCAGCGACTGACACGCAGCTACTAGGCCCAGACAGGAGCATTCGGCATACCAATGTGGCTAGATGGTGCGGCTATTGCGGCTATTGCGGCGATGCGGTTGACAGCGACAAGGACACTTTGAGAATGATGGAGTTGAGCAGGCAGGCTGAGGTGCGGCTGAGGTGCGTGGAGTACGTTACGGCAGGGGTTCGTACTCTGCTACCGGTACCGTACGGTAGTGCTTGTTGGGATCATTCTTTTACTGAGGATATCCAGAGAGTCACGGAATCGTATCCTGATGCAATGGGAAACGGCTCCCTCCTGATGCCTCCAATGGCCCCAGCTTTGACCATCACCTACTGTACGCACACGCCAGCCATTAGGCAACTTGGAGCAGCATCATTTGTTACTGAGGGTACCGCACTACATGTATGTGTATTGGGAATCCACACCGCCGGTGATTTCTCAGCCGAGGAATCATCAGGCGGAATCTAAGCAAGCAATGAATCCAGCATCCACAGATTGCTTGAATCCGGCAAAGGGTGTCTATTTCCGCTTGCTTGGGAGCGTACACTACACCTTTAAGGCTCGCAACTCATGCCAAAGCGTGTCGACGCACTAGCTGCACTTGTGGTGCATCCATTAATATGCTACGTGCAGCCAAGAGTTTCAGAAGCCATCCAAGTCGAAGCCTGGCGTATCTGGACTGCACTGGTTGGCTAGAGCTTGTTAGACAACTGCCACAGAACCGATAAATGAATTCTACTACTTTTCGAAATAGGCTTGTAATCTTTCGATTACTATTTATGTACAAAGGTGGTGAGACTATTTTTCTTTTCGCCTTCGAGCTTTCGTTGCCCTCGGCAGTCTTCCGCACCAGTGATGCCACCCATGAATATGTACAACTCCGCATAGAGACATCACTTCCTCACAGTTCAACCACCAGAAGAAATGTGTATTGTTGTGCGAACTTAGTTCATCAAGTGCTCCATGATTCCCTTTCCATCGGCCAATTCTTGAGCCATGAATCCAGCAGCGGCAAGCATAGCCAGGCGTCCATTTTGGAGTTCCTTGTTTTGGAGGACCAAAAGCTCCTCAGGATCCTCAGGCTTCAAGCCAAGGGGGTCAAATCCAATATCACCAGGGGTGTATTCCGCACGCAAGAGGCCTGGTTGGTCAACAGGGACATTGGAAGGTTCAACCCAGCCAATTTCGGCACGCTTTTGTTCAGCAGCACCAATTCCAGTTGCCAAAAGAGCCCAGAAAAGTGGGGGGACCTGGGTAAGGTGGGTGATGGCAGGTCCAGAAACACTGGCATCCCACAAGAAAGAGGATCCCTCAACGGCTTCTCCAGCCAAGAAACCAATAGTGGCAAGCATGGCAACACGTCCATGGGTGAGTTCAGCCTCACGGTATCGCTTGAGGGTCTTCTCGTCAGCCTTGGCAGCAAATCCAAGAGGATCCCAGATGCCCATGGGTTCAAGAGCTCCAGGGATAGTTTCAACAGTGAAAGCCTGTAATGAAGTGGCATGGACAAAGTCAGTTTGATCAACAACAAAATGATTCTTCCAACTCTTGGTTGAATGAGGAAACTTACAGGGGTGGCAACGGCAGCAGCCTTCTTGGCTCCGCTGAAGGGGCTGAAAGCACTGGCAGAAGCAGCAAAGAGGGTGATGGCGGCAGCGAACTTCATTTTGATGGTTATTGTTTGGTTTGAAGATGTTTTTCTTTCTTTGTTGGTTGATTTTGTGAGAACCTGAGGGATGGATTTTCCTCTCCTGGGAAAGCATTCGGATGGACGACTGTTACATCAGACTGCAGCCACGTACGGTATGGGCGATCACAGGTAGGTATGCAGCAATGTACAGTGAGGATGAGTCAGTGATGAGTCATTGGATCTCTTACCGCACGGTAGTCCAGTAATAATGGGTGGTGCTAGCTAGCTAGAGATCTGAATAGAGGACTTCTATCAGCCCCAGACAACCTAAGAGGAAAACTGATGCGTTGTGATGTGAGTATGTACCTCAGATGCTTGCTCAGCGACGAGAGATGAGTCAGAACCTCTAGAGCTGGCTAGTCCTGAATTTTCCAAAGCCCTTTTAGCCGACGATGGAACCCACCGCACAGTAGTCCTCGTCGTCGCCGTGGCGACTCGCTGCCATTGTTTTGCAAACGTTAGTCAGTTTTGTCTGTGGTTGCGCATCCTACGTGGCATGGCCCCCAGTGTCACACGTACTTTAATTTTTTTAATAAAAAAAGAAGCTTTGGTTCCATTGAATCGAATGAGATTCGATTCGAATCGAATCGAATCGAATCGAATCGAATCGAATCGAATCGAAAGAAGTTCGAATGAATTTATTCGGGTTCGGGTTGGGTTCTCATTCTTCGCCGTTTTCTGCGGAAGAGAAGCGACTTTATCAAGATTGCATCCATGAAACAACAGCAAAGCAAGAAGCAAGACGCCCACTTTGCTGCCGCGACAACTGGCATTCCACTCCAAGCAAGTGGCAAGTGGCACTCAAGCAACCCCATCGTTTCGTACATGTACAACCACACATCACAGTTTTGATACTAGAACACAAATACACTACAATACACTACACCATGTCTCTATTAGTAGTATCTCCATGGCTCCATGAACTTGTATTCCAGCCATCCATGATCACCTGCTTTGCCGGTGCCGTCATGGGAACTCTCCTGACCCTTCTAATCACTTATTACGTGCTGTTCATGCGATGTTCCTGTCGTTATTCTCCCGCCATGATGTATCATCGCGATCGAAGACGTCGTCTCCCCGATACCATCATTGTGATTCGACATGGCGAATCCGAAGCCAACGTCGACAAGTCTCTCTGGAAGACCGTTCCCGACAATCTACTGGGTTTGACATCCAAGGGACGACGGCAAGCACGGACTGTGGGAAAACGAGTGGAAGCCTTGTTGGACGCCAAACAATCCCAGCGGGTGCATTTGATCATTTCTCCGTTTGAACGCACGCTGCAAACGGCACACCATCTGCGACGTTATTTCGAACATCGCATTGTGCGAACGGATATCGAATCCAGAGTTCGAGAACAAGAAATGGGCAACATTCAAGGAGACGAGTTTGCACATTACCGGCAACAACAGGTCCAAATTGGACGATTCTGGTATCGATTCCCCACGGGAGAATCGGGAGCCGACGTCTTGGACCGGGTCAAATCCTGGTGGTTTGAATCCGTATTGACCGTCAATACGCGACCGCACTACGAAACAGTCGATACACTGGTGGTAGTCACCCATGGATTGACCATGCGCTTTATTCTCATGCAATTGTTTGGATGGTCCCCCACCACCTTTCATTCCGTCTGGAATGCGGGAAATTGTGACATGTACGTCCTCCAAAAGGACCTCGACAAACCGGGGCATTCTCCGTACATTCTAGATCCCACGCAGGGAGACATGCCCTGCAGTTCCATTGATGTTCAAGTCACCTTGAAAAGATCCAACGACAACAAGAATAAACCCGAACAAAGAACCCTCAAACTCAACAATTACCTCAGCATCCCTCCACCTCGCATGACGCGCAAAAGCATTATCAAACATTTGTTGGCCGAACAGTACCCCAACATTATTTCGTCACACAAGGAGATTGATGAGATTGTATTCATGCCGTTTATGAAAGCCGGGAAAATTCGGGGGCGAAGCAGTTCGGGGGTCACTGCGTCTGATGAAGCCAGCAGGACGTGTGGTGATCGCAGCAAAGCAGCAGCACGATCCAGTGACAGCAGCAGTGGGAGTGACGAAGACGACAGCAGCAGCAGTGGCACCAATTCCCAAGCCGCCAATAATGGAGAAGCGACTGAAGACTCTTTCTTTAAGCATCGTCCGGATAATAACCAAGACGAATTGTCGGACGACGAAGAAGAAGATATCGATGACGAACAACTCTGGTCGCTCCATTCCAATAGACGAGCCAAAAGGGAAGCGTCGTTGCGATATCCGCATTGCCAGATGATGCCGGGAATGAAGTCGTGGTATTGAATGGAATGGAAACATTTCACAGTCTCACCGACTGTTGCTATAGCAGCCGCGTTGGAAACTGCTGTGGCGCGATGATAGTGAAGCAACATGGTAGGGAAGGGCCTGTCTTGCTTGTTTCACAATACCTTGCAAAAGTTTTTGATGGAGCAGGAGTCGGTGCGGTTTGTTTCAGTACTGTAGTAGGTAGAGTAAACGTTATGATAGATTCATCATTCATGCTGCTACAGGACAAGGCGTTGCGGCTGGAGTTGGCCTGATCCCCAATGCCTGGCGTGGGCTGTGTCCCGGTGTTGGTTGTGTAGAGATGGCTACAAGTCGGAAAGTAAAACCTTTTTGGTGCTTCTATCTCAGTCTAAAAGCGGCAAAACTAGCTACAGCGTAGGCTCAGAGCAATTTTAAGGGGTCTGGATACATGCCCACAATAGGTTCATTCTTTCTTCATTCCTTCTGCAGGGTCTGACGGGCCTGAAATTCCACTTCGGTACCACCTATGCGGTGGTGCTGTACCGTACATGGTCCCAGCACCAAATGGCGAACTTGAGTACTTTCTCAATATACACCAATATCGCTCAAGTCAAGTCAAGTCTCGCTCAAATTGAATGTCATCGTTTCAGCCAGTGCGTCCCATCCCAAGATAGCGGATTCTAGCTGGCGCCGCTGTCTGTGTCTTCGCAATGGCGCTGTCGTAGATTGTTCTTCCAGTATTCAGCGTTGACTTCAAGATTTGGCGTAGTTGCCGCATCGGAACCGCAAGGGATGATGGCGTCATCTGCTGTACATGCAGCACCCATGACAACAAGAAGCAGAAAGACGTGCAAGGGATCTGTTCATCATCATCATGCCAAGTACCGCATGATAGAAAAGGGAAGAGCTGGTTTCCAGGGGTAGAACCTCACAAACCGCTCAGAAACATGAAGATCCAACCGTTGCTGAAACAAACAAGAGAGGAGATGACTGGGCTATAAAGATGATCGCACATGTAGTCGAGGAAAGAATCAACGCGTCGCTGATCCAGGATCCAGTGTTTTTTGCTCCTGGAGGGATGCAAGATCATGCGTCTGTTCGGTTGTGGTAATCAAGCAGACCATCAAGACAAACCAGCTGCTGCTGGACAAGAAGGGAACCGGTTGCTACTCTACAGGTTGAATCTGGATGACTGGCAACTGAACTGGCACCTTCAGTGGCACCTGGCAAGGCAATCTTGTGTTGCATGGACAATAATAAATGGCCAACACTGATGAGGCTGCCTATTGTCTACATGGCTTTTTGGCGTACGGTAAGCAAACCCTCTCAAAAGAGAAGTAGACTATCCTTACAGAAATTGCTTGGCATTGGATACTTGCTCATTGGAACGGGAATCAGCGCATTAGGGGCGTTGCACCTGGTGTGAAAATCGCATTTTAATAAAAAATGCTTCAAGAAAGTTTTAACAAGACGATATCTTCGAGTCGAATGATTCGATTCGATTCGATACAATCAAAAATCGCACTGAACGGGAAATGTCGCCAGCTATTGCTCTTTCTGAAATGAAAACACAATCAAAGTTTTTGTATCAGCCTGAGAAAGGATTGTTCCTTTTGCACAGTTTCAAAAGTATTGGCATAGTCAGACCTACAGTGTACTTTGGCTGCTTCCTAAAGTGCCCTTCCCAAAGTGCAATACTTGATTGATCATGATGCATATCCGAGCACTTACAGTCTTGCTGCTCCTAGCCTCAGGGGGCATTCAGTCTCCGTTTGTGGTTGGTGATTCTCACAGCCCAGACTCAAGTGCCTCTGATTCGAGCAGCTCTGATTCGAGCAGCTCTGATTCGAGCAGCTCTGATTCCACTGAGGAGGCTAGCAGCTCTGATTCCGCCCAAGAGGTTGCTAAAATCCTCAAAGAGCTAAGCACCCGTTTCCACAGAAGATCTTAGCAAGCCGGAGAATGCTGAAGAGTTTGCTGATCTTGAACATAAAGTATCTGAAAATCTCAGTGGTGCTGAAGAAGAACCTGGGCTGGAAGCAGGAGTCGAAGTCCATCTGCAGGTTTCTCTCCCCCTGGCAGAAGAATTCTTGAAGGCAGCCAAGCTTTCCATGTTGACATATAAGCCCAACTCGACCGATACTGAAGTAGCAACCAAGGCCGCAGATGAAATGGAACTAGAATACATCAAAGCCTTCAGGGCAGCACCTGACCTATCACTTGTAGCTTTGGACAAGGGTACAAAAGAATGTTTTGGAGTGTTTCGCGGCACGCACGCTGGCATCGGTGACTTGCTGCAGAACTTTGATCTAGAAGAAACCATGGTGGAAGGATGCAAATGTCACAATAGCTATGTGAGTGCTGTCCACAACAGCTACTTCCCAGAATTTGATGCAGCCCTTCATGATTGCTTGCAAAAGGACTGCCCTGATTGTACACTCACCTTGACAGGGCATAGGTAAGTCGTGGCTACATTGGAGCTTTGTTGTTTGTTATACTGTCTCGAAGAAACGCATCCTCAATTCCACATATTGATTCCGCTACATATTGCAGCCAAGGTGGAGCAGGTGAGTCTGACATTATTTGTACAATTCCATGTGTTCCGAGATGTACATCGTATCATGTGTTCAACCTGTTCTGTTGTTTTTCATTGTTTCTGCAGCGGCTGTTGTTGCTTCTCTTCTTTACGCCGACTACAATCCAGAAGTCATCACTTTTGGAGCCCCAAAGGCTGTGTACCCCCTTGTGATAAAATAGTTGATGAGAATCACTACAGATTGGCAAACATGATTCCGACGCCCATGGGTGTGATTTATGACATGGTTGCTATGCTTCCTGGAATGGGTGCAGAACATTTTGGGCATTCCATTCTCCTGGGAGGTGACAAAATGGCAGCTTATCTTGGCAAACATGAGGGGCACATCCGCTTTCACTGGGGGATTTCGCCCCATGATATGAAGTATTACATTGGCAATCTCGAGAAGCTGATCTCAACTATCCGCGAAGAAAAGCAGGCAAGGAATATTGACCTCAGCAGTGGAACAGTTGATATGAGACGCTATAAAGATGGGTCTCGCTGCAGATACAATGGTACGCTTTCTTGAGAATGTGCATGAATACAACACACGATCACCTGTATCAACCAGCTAGCCCCCCGTAATGGTCCCCTGATCCCACAGAACCTAGTCCTGAATTTCGACTGTTCTTTGCTTAAGCCTGGCCCCGGCTGGCTTCCGTAGATAATTTCCCTACTCTAAAACCCCCCCTTGCTAGCTACATACTGCTTGCAAACAAAAGATGAGTGTGAGTCAGGTCGCTGTGACATTGACTTTTGGAATTATATTTGCAAGCCGACGATGGGTGCGGGAATGATTTGTGATGAGGACAGTGATTGCCAATCAGGAGACTGCAGCTGGCTGTTTATGTGTATGTGACACCCATTGTATGGAGATTTTGATCGCCAAGTGCAAGCAAGCGGTTCTATCAAGCAAGCTACAGATCGTAGTCTACTAGCTAGCCAGAAAAAGTGGATGTTTTTTGTAAGCCGTCTATTTTTAAAAAAACGGCTACCAGTAGAATCTACGTATGTAGTGAAGCTTCGCGCGAAAAGGGCGCATGCACCTCTGGACCTCTCCAGCCCCGATTCATTCCTCACTTTTGTTCTTTTCTTGGATCGATCGATCTTGTGAAGATTCAAGGTCTTACCTAAACCATACCCCAAGTTGGTACTAAGTACTTCTAAGTAATTTCACTGGGACTTGTGACAGTTACATCAATTAGACAACCCGTAATCCAATTGAACTTGGTACCATGGACCAAG